CATTCCAGGGAGTAAAGATTATGTAGTTTAAGCATGATTGTTCCTAGTTAAAGTGATTAATTACCCGCCTGGCACTTAGTTAAGAGGTTTTATTCCCTTCCTAACTTCAGGGGAAAATCCCTACCTGGGGAAACAACCTTTCTCGGAGAGGTGACCTTGGTTAAAACACAGCGCCAAGAAGGTGAGCAAACACATTAAGAACAGTATGCCATATATGCCAGGTCCCTTGAAACAGCAAGGATGGACTGGCTCCCGGCACTTGCTGGCAGCTTAGAGAGGCCAAGGCATTAAGAATACCACTCTCTCTCTGGCCGGTTTGGCTCAGTGGCTAGAGCGTCGGCCTGTGGACTGAAGAGTCCCAGGTTTGATTCCGGTCAGGGGTATGTGCCTTGGTTGCGGGCACGTCCCCCAGTGGGGGGTGTGCAGGAGGCAGCTGGTGGATATTTTTCTCTCATGGATATTTCTGACTCTCTATCCCTCTCCCTTCCTCTCTGTGGAAAATCAATAAAATATATATTTTTTTAAAAAAAGAATACCACTCTCACCCAGTGGGTATGGCTAAGTGGTTGAGCATCAACCTATGAACCGGGAGGTCAAGGTTCGATTTCCGATCAGGGTATATGCCTGGGTTACAGGCTCCATCCCCACCCAATAGGGGTTGTGCAATAGGCAGCTGATTGATGATTCTCTCTCATCATTAATGTTTCTATCCCTCTCTCCTTTCCTCTCTGAAATCAGTTTAAAAAATAATAACTCACCCATGTCCCTAAAGCTCCAAGCAGAGTTGCTAACACATCTGGACTACATCCTTGTGTGGTACTGTCTTGACTTTCCTCCAGCACCTGTTCTGCAGCAGTGATTCCTGAGGTCTCTTGAAATTTAACCCAGACAGGGGCTCCCAAGATTTCAAACCATGAGTTATCTTATCATTCCAGAAGTCCAGTCAAGCAATTGTAAACATAGTGACTATCATAGGATTCCAAAGATAGTCCAAGACCATTTCCTGCCTTCAAAAAGCCTTAAATCTCCCTGAAAAGAGAGAGGCAGCACCTGAAAAGGCTGTATGGTGTGGTGAGCTGGGTTTGAATGCTGGCTCTGCCACTCTCTTGGTGTATTTTGGGCAAATCACTTTACTCCTATGAACCCAAGTTTTCTCATCTGTAGACTGGGGATAGTGGTATTTACCTCACCGGGTTGTTGGGGTGATTAAGGGAGCTAAGTTATGTGAAGGGCCTGACACACAGTAGGCAGTAGGTATTACTTCTTTCTTTGTGATATCCTATATAATAAAAGGCTAACATGCAAATCGACAGAACAGTGGACACTATGATGCACACTAACCACCAGAGGGCAGACGCTCAACCCAGGAGCTGCCCCCTGGTGGTCAGTGTGCTCCCACATGGGGAGCGCCGTGCAGCCAGAAGCTGGGCTCATGGCTGGTGAGCGCAGCAGCAGCAAGCAGCAGCAGTGGCAGGAGTCTCTCCCACCTCCCCAGCAGTGCTAAGGACCCCTTGGGGGATGTCCGACTACCAGCTTAGGCCTGTGGACATCCCCTGAGGGGTCCCAGACTGAGAGGGCACAGGCTGGGCTGAGAGACCCGCCCGCCAGGGCACGAATGTTGTGCACTGAGCCTCTAGTAATGTATAAAGACCTAAACAGTGGGTACCAGTTAAAACTGAGTTCAGAGACCAGTAAAACTGCTGTGGGCCAGTGGGTGTGGCTAATATGTTTACAATTGCTTGACTGGACTTATGGAATGAGATAACTCATGGTTTGAAATCTTGGGAGCCCCTGTCTGGGTTAAATTTCAAGAGACCTCAGGAATCACTGCTGCAGAACAGGTGCTGGAGAAAAGTCAAGACAGTACCATACAAGGATGTGGTCCAGATGTGTTAGGAACTCTGCTTGGAACTTTAGGGACATGGGTGAGTTATTATTATTTTAATATATTTTATTGATTTTTTACAGAGAGGAAGGGAGAGTGATAGAGAGTTAGAAACATCGATGAGAGAGAAACATCTATCAGCTGCCTCCTGCACACCCCCCATTGGATATATGCCCGCAACCAAGGTACATGCCCTTGACTGGAATCGAACCCGGGACCCTTGAGTCCACAGGCCGATGCTCTATCTGCTGAGCCAAACCGGTTAGGGCGAGTTATTATTTTTTAAACTGATTTCAGAGAGGAAAGCAGAGAGGGATAGAAACATTAATGATGAGAGAGAATCATCAATTGGCTGCCTATTGCACAACTCCTACTGGTTGGGGATGGAGCCTGCAACCCAGGCATATACCCTGATCGGAAATCGAACCTTGACCTCCCGGTTCATAGGTTGATGCCCAACCACTTAGCCACACGCACTGGGTTAGAGTGGTATTCTTTTTTTTTTTTTTAAATATATACTTAGGCTAGCTCCATGTAGGCTGTAGAACTTGAGGGATGAGGAGGATTTTACCAAGTAAAGAGAACGTGGTGAGAGAGAAGAGCAGATATTTCAGGCAGGGGGAACAGTATGACCAAAAACACAGAAATAAGAGTGAATCAGGTTTGTCAGGGGAAAGAGCCATGTTGAGAAACGGATGGAGAGATGTGTTGGTCAAGACCTCAAGGGCCTATTATGTGTTGCATCTTGGAAAGATTTGGAGGAATGATGCTGAGGGCCCATCTCACAGGCCTCCTGTACCTTGAGCTGCCCTCCTTGTGGGCATAAGGTCAGGAAGCTAAACAGGCATGTCACCTCTCCCCTTTTTCCAGGACGATGACCGTTGTGAGGAGTGGGAACGGCATGAAGCGCTGCATGAGGATGTGACTAGGCAGGAGCGTACCACTGAGCGGCTCTTTGAGGAGGAGATCGAGCTCAAGTGGGAGAAGGGCGGCTCTGGCCTGGTGTTCTACACAGATGCTCAGTTCTGGCAGGAGGAAGAAGGAGGTAATGCTGGCACCAGACAAGGGCAGGAGTGTTCCCTGTTGCATTTGCTCTGGGCTTTATGTTCCGCAAGGCATAAAGAGTGACAGTGGGCCCAATAAAAGGCTAGGAAAGTAGCTAACCTTGACTGTATATGAGACCAGTCATCCTTTTTAGGGGTGGGGGGATCAATGGAGTGGAAAGTGCCCTCCCACAATTCTGAATGACCCTCCCAGATGAGAGATTTAAAACTATCAAAAGCCCCAAGTTCTAGAACATATGTCTAAGTCTAGATTTAACTAACTCTCAACAGAACTGAGAGTCCTTAAGCTCACTCTGCTTGATGCTTTTATACCTGCAGACTTTGATGAACAGACAGCCGATGACTGGGATGTGGACATGAGCGTGTACTACGACAGAGGTACTGGGCCAGGGATTTTGTTACTTGGAGGTGGAAGTGGTGGTCTTGCAGTGACACTTTATCAGTCCTGCTTAGCAAAGGCTAAGATAGAACATCAGTTCCTTGGGGTAGCTCACTGAGATGGTTCTTCTCAAGATATCTCTAGTTGAGTGCCTTAAGTGCTGGTTGTAGGCAGAACCTTTTTCTTTCTTTGTGAAGCAAGGACAAGTAGGGAACTCTGCTTCTGGTGGGCAGACCCTGGAATTGTGGGCATTGGTAGCTCATGCTCTGGTGAAGAATTTAGATTCTGGAGTCAAAAATGATCTTGGTAGGGAGAGAAGGGGAAGACCTGGGCTCTACATCTGTCTCTGTTGGCTCTATGACTTTTCTGCACCATAATTTTCTCATTTGTAAGATTGGAGAACCATGGTTCCTATTCTTGGTAAGCTCCCAGTCTAATGAGAAAGAATTATAAGGTAATAAAATCATCATAAAGATGAATATGTAAATCTTGTGTGGTCTTAGACACCTGATTTCCCTCCTTCTGCAAACTGGGCTCTGCTTCCTCAGATGGTGGAGACAAGGATGCCCGAGACTCTGTCCAAATGCGCCTGGAACGGAGACTCCGTGATGGCCAGGAGGACGGCTCCGTGACTGAATGCCAGGTGGGCACCTTTGAGCGCCACACCAAGGTAAGGATTATGCCCAATCCACTGACCTCTCTTTTCCTTCTCTACCCCATCCTTTCTCTTCCGCCCTGCCTCTGCCCTCCATAAGAGCTCTGTCTCTTGAGTCTTTTCCCTTCCCTCCGCAGGGCATTGGGCGGAAGGTGATGGAGCGACAGGGCTGGGCTGAAGGCCAGGGCCTGGGCAGCCAGTGCTCAGGGGTGCCTGAGGCCCTGGATAATGATGGCCAGCACCCCAGATGTAAGCGTGGACTGGGGTGAGTATGACAGGGATTTCCCTGGGAGTCCAAGCCAACCTTTCAGCTGTACCCTGGTTCCCCCTTTCCTCTGGCTTTGGGGTGGCTTTGAGATTCCTAGAGAGTGAACTTTAAAGTAGAGTTAGAAGGAAAAAATAGGTCTGGATCTCCTGGTGGGGTCATTACTCCCAGTCTGAGGAGTTTGGACTTGATGATTGCCTTTGGGGAGTGACTGTAAGTTACGGAGTGGTGACAGTTGTTCTAAACTTTGTGCACTATTTAAAATGAAAGCATTGAGGCCGCTGGTAACTGGCACTGTCAATGAACGGATAAAGCAAAAGTCCAGATTTAAAGGCTCTGTCTTGGGGACAAACCAGATATGCAGTAGCTATTTCCCTGTCCTTTCCCAACCCCCTTAATTGGGGTTTGAGAGCAGCCCTCTCACCGAGAGCCCTTTTTAATCCAGGTACCACGGAGAGAAGCTACAGCCATTTGGGCAACTGAAGAGGCCCCGCAGAACTGGTTTGGGACTCATCTCCACCATCTATGATGAACCCCTGCCCCAGGACCAAGGGGAGTTGCTGCTCAGACGCCAGCCACCCACCAGCATGAAGTTTCGTACAGATATGACCTTTGTGAGGGGTTCCAGCTCTGCCTTTGACAACTTCTCAGAGCCTGAGTGAGGAGTTCAGGGACTTCCTTCGTCAGGATCACTCATTACTGCCCTGGCCTTTTCTCCCACCGAAACAGGAAGAAGTCTGGGAGCAGCAACTTGCCGCACTCCTTCAGGGTGCTTTGTTCTGAACTTGCCTTCTGGCTCTCTACCTCAGGGGCATTTTTTCAAAAAAGCCCCCTATCCTCCCCTTTGATATTAGGGCTTAATGACCGCTATTCCTTGATCTCCTAATCCTGGTCCGTTTGGGCTTGCCGCATCACCTCCCCCGGTACCTTGAAAAGCTGGATTGACTGAGGTTTCAACACAGCCTTCTTTGGGTGGTGTCACCTTGAAGGTCAGAAAGAATGAGAAAGGGGCCTGGAAGAGAAGAGGATTTGTGGTGCTCGGAAGAGACGGTCTTGGGGCGAGCCTTTCACTGCCTCTCCCCCTGACCGGCTGGGACTAGTCGGCAGAGTCCGCGGGAGGTGGACCGGACCTGCGATCGAATGGTAGAATAAAGAAGTTTATGACCGGATTTCTTTCTCTTCTAATTTGGGCCTAGAGGAAGGTTGGGTAAATCCCGAAAAAGTTTCCTTGCCCCATACCCCAACCCATCTCCTCGCTGCTGGTGAAATGCTGCGCGCCGTCACGAACTTTGGCGCTAAGCTGTGTCGTCACCGTGAGGGCGGGACTTCCTCTCCGGGACCCTGTCATTTCCGACGTCTTCCGGAAGTTGCTGGTTCGCTCAGTACCGGGCTATTCACTCCGCGTTGCCCGGCTTCCTGCTGGTCCACAGTTGACAACTCTGGGGCACCGGCACCGCGCCACCCACAAAGAGCACGTCGGGAATCCCGACGCCCTCTCGTCTGGTGTGTCGCCCGCCTTGTTTCCCCGCCGAGCTTTCCTGCTGCGCACAGGGCCGAGTGCCACCCATGGCGGGGGCCGCTCGGACGCCGGCCTTTGGACAGGCTGTGATCGGCCCGCCGGGCTCGGGAAAGACCACATACTGCCTGGGCATGAGCGAGTTCCTGCGCGCGATGGGCCGGCGCGTGGCGGTAGTGAACTTGGACCCGGCCAACGAGGGGCTGCCGTACGAGTGCGCCGTGGACGTGAGCGAGCTGGTGGGTTTGAGCGACGTGATGGACGCCTTGCGGCTGGGGCCCAACGGCGGCCTGCTGTACTGCATGGAGTACCTGGAGGCCAATCTGGACTGGCTGCGCTCCAAGCTTGACCCCCTCCGCGGCCATTACTTCCTCTTCGACTGCCCAGGCCAAGTGGAGCTCTGCACGCACCATGGCTCCTTGCGCAGCATCTTCTCCCAGATGGCCCAGTGGGACCTCAGGGTGCGTCTTGGGTCGGGCCGGTCCATTTTGCAGATGAAGGAAATAAGACAGGGAGGGCATGCCACACACAGCGAGGCAAGGGCAGAGTTGCTTTGGACTATAACTGGTATAATTTCGAATTCTGGCTCTGCCACTGACTCACTGTGTGATCCTGGGCAAGTCAGTTTATCTTTCTGAATCTCAGTTTTCTCATCTGTAAATGGATGTGTTAGCACCCAATTTGGGATTATTAGAAGTATGGAAAGAGTTATGTGGAAAACAGCATGGCGATTGTTGTTGTGAGTTGGGGGCAAAAGTAAGTGAAAGATTGGAGTCAGATGTAGTGGGAATTGAACCAGTTGCCCACTGGGAGGCTCAGCCCAAGGCATCCTCTAAGAAAAGTGCCCATATCTCCTGGGAGAAGGAAATGAGTGCGGCATTAGAATGAAACGGAAGGAAAAGACTAATGGGGAAGACTGGCACTCTGTCCTCAGGCACCCCTAATCTGATGGGGGAGAGATATAGGCCCTGATGTTCCCTGCCTCCTCAGGCCACTCTCATCCTGTCTCTCCCTCCCCTCCCAGCTGACTGCTGTCCATCTGGTAGATTCTCACTACTGCACAGACCCCGCCAAGTTCATTTCAGTACTGTGTACCTCCCTGGCCACCATGCTGCACGTAGAGCTGCCCCACGTCAACCTCCTCTCCAAGATGGACCTCATTGAGCACTATGGAAAGCTGGGTAAGTGCTCCTGTCTGGGCCAGGCAAGGTGTAGGCCAGTGGCTGGGCTGGAGTGAAGCAGAGATCTCAGGTGAAGGAAGTTTCTTCCAGGGACCATGCATAGCCTGGTGATCATAGCCACAGTCAGGTGCTGACCCCTACCCATTTATTTTGTTCCATTTACTGTTCTGGGTTTTGGGGGACAAGAAAACTATAGATGGTGATGTGTATTATGAAGGAATTAAAATGAAATGATGGGACAGTGAGTGGTGGGGAGTGAACAGTGCCATCTGAGCTGAGAACTGAATGGTGAGGAGCCAGCTAAGGGCAAACTGTTCAAGCAGAGGGACTAGTAGTGAGTAAAGACCCTCAGGTAGCGAAGAGTTTTTTTGTTTCCAAGGAAGGTGGGGGCAGGGTAGCTGAGACAGTGTTTAGGGGAAGGGTGGTAGGAAATGAGGACAGAGAGGTTGGCAGGGGCCAAAACTTGTACTATTTAAACACAGAGGCAAGTCATTGATGAATATTAAGCAAGGGAATAACACGAACTGAAAAGGTCATTCTGGCTGCTTTGTGAATGAATTGAAAGGGGCAAGAATGAAAACAGCTCCTTTTGTATTTTTGTAGCAGTTCAAGCAGTGTGCCGGAAGCTGGTCCACCCTTGCTGCTTGACACAGTCGCTGCAGGGAAGAAACATCTGCATAGCTTATGTTTCAATGGACCTGGCGTATATGGCATGTTTGCTTCCCCTCTTAACTCTATGTGTTTTAAACAGGACCACCTCCCCAGAAAGGTTGTTTCCCTGGTGAGGATTTTTCCCTGGAGTTAGGGAGGGAATAAAACCCCTTACCTAAGTGCCAGGTGGGTAATTAATCACTTTAACTACAAACAATCATGCTTAAGCTACATAATCTTTACTTAGGATAATCTTCAGTTACTCCCTTGTAGTTTAATAGAACAATAGAGTAACCTTGGAATGGAGATAAGAAACGCCCTAACCTTTGGAATAGAATTGATAGGATTAAAATCAACTGGTATAAATGCAGATGTAACAAGACAATAAAGACAGAACTTGGATCAATGGACGAGGTGGCGCCAGCTGGTTCCAGGCGATTCGAGGATGATTGAGGTGGTTTGCAACGACCGTCTGGGGAAGAAGGTCCGAGTGAAGTGCAACACCAATGACACCATTGGGGACCTGAAGAAGCTGATCGCCACCCAGACGGGGACCCGTTGGAACAAGATTGTGTTGAAGTGGTACACGATCTTTAAGGACCACATTTCTCTGGGCAACTATGAAATCCATGATGGGATGAACCTGGAGCTTTATTAACAATAAAGCTGAACTCCTTCCTCATGCCCGGTCCCCCCCGCCCCTCTCCTCCCGCTCTCAGCCCCAGCACTGGTATGGATGCTTGGTCTTTAAAAAGTCATGTTAACAAGAACGTAGAACAGGGGCAAAAAAAAAGACAGAACTTGGCTGGAGATCCTGGAGAGAACCTCGCTATGATGATCAACTGAACGCTGCCTCCGTGTCCTTCCTTCTTCACTGACTCCGTTCACACCTATGGGAACCCCTGGACCTGCTGGGGATGGACCCCAACAGCAGTGGTGGTGGGAATGGAGAAAATGAGATTCAAAACTTGCTCAAGAAATAGGATTTGGCCCTAACCGGTTTGGCTCAATGGACAGAGCATCGACCTGCGGACTCAAGGGTCCCAGGTTCGATTCTGGTCAAGGGCATGTACCTTGGTTGTGGGCGCATACCCAGTGGGGAGTGTGCAGGAGGCAATTGATCAATGTTTCTACCTCTCTATTCCTCTCCCGTCCTCTCTGTAAGAAGTCAATAAAATATATTTTTAAAAAAAAGAAATAGGATTTGTTTGTGCATTGGACCTGGAGACAGAGAAATTAAGAATGACACTCAGGTTTCTGACTGAGCCAGTGTACAAATGAGGGTGCCATTTGTTAAGGTGGAGAAGATTGAGGGAAAAGCAGGCTGCTGAGGCGGGGGAGTTGAATAAGGACCCTATGGCCAGCATTTCTTTCCTGCAATATTACTGCTCTGCTGAGCTGGGGCATCAGTTCCCTAAATAGCATCTCTAGCCACAAAGAAGAACAGCTGAAGTGAGCAGAAAGGGAAGTCATTGGGAGAGTGATTGTAAGGGCCTTGTCCAGCGAAGGCAGGACATGGAGGGATGTCAGCACTTCCTGGTCAGAGTCCTGGTCCATCTCTTGGCAAGCCCAGAAGCCCCATTTTACCTATGTGCAAATGTGTAGTCATCCAAAGCTTCTCACCCGCTTCACAGCCTCCGCCAGGTGGAGGAAACAGCTACATGGTGGTCTTTAACCTTCCTACCTCTGGCTCTTGATAGGCATCCTCACAAAAGGCTGGTTAGCAGATCAGATGAGGCCATTGAGGCCTTATATGAATCACACAGCTAGTATGTTAGCTGAGGTGAAATCTAAACCCAAGTGTACCTGGCTCCAGTTTCTTAATTCTCATTGAGAAACCTACCTGTCAAGCAACCCAAGAAGTTTGTTGGAATGCTCAGGACATTCTTCCTTGTAGTGGTGTCAGTTTCTAATTAGAGCTGATTAGAGCATGGAAGTCAGAGCACACAAGTGAGTGGATCAATCTCTGACAGCCTGTTTCCTCAGCTCACCTGCCAAGTAGCCCAACCACTTGAGTTTTCCAGGCTGAAATGGACAGTGCAAGCCCACGTTACTTCTCTTAGTGGGAAGTTTGTAGACATAGAACTGAGTCAGAAACCCCAGAGTCATCTAGTTTGGTTTGCTCATTTTACATTAAGAAGGAACTGACCCAGAAAGGGGAAAAGATTTACCCAGACGCCACCCTGCTAAAGTCCTTACAGTGTGTGCTGGGTCCTGGGGGTACTACCTGACTCTGAGCTTCATGAGGGCGGCACCAAGCACTGTACCTGGTACATGTTCGGTATCATTATTTGCTACCACTGATCAAGCACTTCTTTGTATCAGGCACAAGGTTCATAGCATTTAATTCTCATAGCAGCCCCATGAGGTGGGTATCTGTCCATAGAGCTAGTAAATGACAGAACCAGCCAGTGAGAGACTGAAGGCAGAGGAAGGAAGAAAAAATAATGGTTTCTGTCCTTGGGGCTTTAGCCTGATGCCACCTGTTCCTGACTGGTTTCTCTCCTTAGCCTTCAACCTGGACTACTACACAGAGGTCCTGGACCTCTCCTACTTGCTTGACCACCTGGCTTCTGACCCTTTCTTCCGCCACTATCGTCAGCTCAATGAGAAATTGGTGCAGCTCATTGAAGACTACAGCCTGGTCTCCTTCATTCCTCTCAACATCCAGGTACCATGGACTAAGAGGCCTATTCCCTTGACTATAGGCTCTGACAGTGCCTTGGACCTCTCCAAGCCAAGAGTACAGGAGGCTTTGAGGGCTCAAACAGTGGTCTTTGTCCTAGGTCATGCTATCATTCGGTCCCCTTGGTTTTGGTACCAGGGCCTCTGATGGCCAGGATTCCACTAAACAGGTTTGGCCTTATCTATTTTGTGTTGCTGGGTCCTCTCCACACGTTCCCTGAAAGTCACCAGCAAGGAACTTGATCAAGGTCAGGGATAAGTCTCTCAGGCTCCTTCAAGATGAGCAACTGCTTATTAACTTTGCAAAGTAGTACCCAATCCCTGTGCCTCTCACCTTCACCCTGCAAAGATAACCTGGGAGACTCCCGTGCATGTTTGAGTCCTTTCTGCAGTACGTGGACTTGAGCGAACTTGTCTCTTCCCTTTTTAATGCCATACCCTTCTCTAAAAATGAGGTTAAACCTATGATATTAATCCTAACTACCACTTACTGCAGGTTTTCTTTTTTAAAAATATATTTTTATTGATTTCAGAGAGGAAAGGAGAGAAACATCAATGCTGAGAGAGAATCATTGACTAGCTGTCTTTTGCACACTCCACACTAGGATCGAGCCCAAAACCCAGGCATATGCCCTTGACCGGAATCAAACCCGGGACCCTCAGTCCACAGGCCAATGAACTATCCACTGAGCCAAACTGGCTAGGGTAGTTTTGTTTTTTAAAATAATTGTCTTTTTTTCTTTTATTTTTATTGATTTCAGAGAGAAAGGGAGAGGGAGAGAGAGATAGAAACATCAATGATGAGAGAGAATAATTGATCAGCTGCCTCCTGCATGCCCCCGACTGGGGATCAAGCGGCAACCTGGGCATGTGCCCTTGACCGGAATCAAACCTGGGACCCTTCAGTCTGCAAGCCGACGCTCTATCCACTGAGCCAAACCAGCTAGGGCCAGGTTTTCTAAACTAGGCATTGTGGTAAGAACTGTGATACCTTGTTATTAATCCTCACCAAAGGATATTTTTTTCCATTGATTTTTAGAGAGAGTGTATGGGAGGGAGGGGGAGACAGAGAGAAACATCAGTATAAGAGAGACATATCAATTATTTGTCTCCCGCACACCCCCTAACCGGGGTCAGGGGTCAAACATGCAACACAGGTATGTGCTCTTGACCCAAAATCGAACCTGTGACCCTTCAGTGTGAGGGCTGACTCTAATGAGAAACACCAGCCAGGGCTTTAATGCATTATTTTGATCTTTCCTCCCTATCATGTGATGTATGAATTGTTCTTATTACTTTTCTGTGGATGAATAAATAGGTTACATGCATATTTATTCGGTGCCTACTGCTAGCTAAGTACTGTGCCAGGCACTGGGAATACCTCAACCTTGCAGATCAGTCGAGTAGGGGAGGCAGATGAGTTAATAACTTGTAGTAGTTAGACGGTAGGATCAGAGCTACAATAGGAATAAATCCAGGGGACTATGGTTGTGCATAGAGGAGCTTACCTGTTCTAAATTAGGGGGGTAGTGGTCAGAAAAATGGGATGTAGCCAGGCCTCTGGGAACAGGTAGAACTACTTTAGGCCAATGAAGCTGCATATACAGAGACTTCATGAGGCAAGATTGAGGTGGGGGTTGGGGGCAGCAAGCAGTTTGGTACAACTTCAATTCCACATCCTTGTTTCAGTCTCAGCTGTTTCTCTCTTCCCTGCCCAGGACAAGGAGAGTGTCCAGCGAGTCCTGCAAGCTGTGGATAAAGCCAATGGCTACTGCTTCGGGGTCCAAGAGCAGCGAAGCCTGGAGGCCATGATGTCTGCTGCAATGGGAGCTGACTTCCATTTCTCCTCGTATCCTTGCTCGCTAGCCTCTTAGCCACAGCCAATGGGGGTGGGGTGTGGGGTAGTGTGTGGGACTCAGGAATAGCTACTTACACCTTTGTAGATGACTGATTCATTTTGACCAATTGGGGTCCCTGGTGACTGTCTTTCATGTTCAAAGGCTGGCCCCTTAGACAGCTTCAGGGTTGGTTGTATCTTAGGACAAGGGAAGATACTGATCAGAAGGAGCAAAAATACAGAGACCCAGGAATGAAAGGGCATTGGTTTTGAGAGAGGTAAAGGGTTCAGTTTGCCTGGTGCCTTAAGTGTGAAGGGGAAAGGAGGGGGTGCAGGCTGGCGATGGGGGTGCTTCAGTGCCCTGCTAAGGAATGTGGACTTCGGCTCATGGCCAAGCAGCAGGACCAGCATAGTGGTGTTGCTCAGAGTGTGGCATGAACAAATGTACATTTTTGAAAAGCCCCTCCAAGTGTGGAAAATGCATTTAAGGGATGTGATGGGGGGCAAGAGAGTGTTTACAGTTTCTAGAAGAGAAGAGATGAAACATTAGTAGTGAGAATAGAAACAAGTGTGTGAATTGGAAAAATATTAAGGTGATAGATGGTTATAAGGTAGACGTAGAGCAGAATTCAGACTCCCGGTTTCTGGCTTAGATAGTGGTATGGGCGGTGCTAGTCACTGAGGTAAGAAAAGAAAGGAAGGTTTGTCAGTTTGTCACGGAGATGGAAGGGATGGGAGCTAGCACATGTGCCATGCTTGAGGGGGATCTGGGACAGTCGGCTGTCTGGGAGGCAGCTAGACCTTCAAAACTGGACCGGTGGGGGTAGAACTGAGGTCATGTGTAGGTGTCTCTCATGTCACAGAGGCTGCATGTGAGGTAGGACAGGCTTTCTAGGCTGGTTTCAGAGATTGGGCATTTACACTGCTGGAGACAAGGCAGGAGTGGGGGAGGTGCACTCCAGAGTCCTTGTGGAGGGAGGAAAATAGTTCCAACCAACACTTACTGATCTGTGTCAGGCCCTTTCACACATGGGAAACAAAGTTCACAGGGAAGTAGACTAGTTACAGATGGTGGCACTAGAGTGTGCAATAAGTACCTGAAGAAGGGATGAGGACCTACCTCACACAACTTGCTGCTAATGGCAAATTCAGCAGCATGTACTCAGCAAAAAAGGGGAGGGGTACTTTCCATAGAGCTGTGATATTTTGCACAATGTACATGACTTTATGCAGTCACATTCTACTCATAAAACCATGTACACCAAGCATGTCAAACTCAAAAGGCTAACATGGGCCAAATAAACAAGGTTTAAGTTTATGTGGCCACAAGAAAAGCAGCTTTAATCTTCATAGAAACATAGGTTTATTTCAGTAGAAACATGCTGAATACAAAGGGCTGAAATATATGAGTAATTATTAACATAAAATAATAGAACATTTTAATAAAAATTAATATTTTTTTCTTGATCATTAACTTACCAGACACTGAATAACTGCACAAATTAATAAGTGTAATGCAAATAAACCTATTTTCCTTGTTCTCCTAAAGCGAAATATTTCCTGTTGCGCACACCAAACAAGTCAGTTCAGGACTAATAACGTGGCAATCGGTTGCTAAAATAGTCGCTGCTGGTATTAGTGGAGAGTGTTCTGATTCCCTGAATTGTTTTCATTTTTAATTTTTCAGTTACAGTTTACTTTCAATATTATTTTGTATTGGTTTCAGGTGTACAGCCTAGTGATTAGATAATCATATACTTTACAAAGGAATTTTAAAGGTATTTCTCACCATATACATTTATGCTGATTTTAGATTCTACCCCCCTCTACCACCCCAATTTTCTTAAAGTTCAACTTTATTCTCTGTATTAGGCAATTAAGGATTGGTATAAAGATGGGAAAGTCAGCTCTGTTGAGGAGTGAGTTGGTAAAGAAAGCTTCAAAGTGGTAGTGACACTTGATTTGCATCATCTCAAAGTGAGGGTTAGCCAAGTTAATTAAGAGGAAAAGGGAAGCCGAAACCGGTTTGGCCCAGCGGATAGAGCGTCAGCCTGCGGACTGAAAGGTCCCAGGTTCGATTCCGGTCAAGGGCATGTACCTTGGTTGCGGGCACATCCCCAGTAGGAGATGTGCAGGAGGCAGCTGATCGATGTCTCTCTCATCGATGTTTCTAGCTCTCTGTCTCTCTCTCTTCCTCTCTGTAAAAAATCAATAAAATATATTTTTAAAAAAGTAATAGGGAACATTAAAAAGATAATAAGGGAATTACCAGTAAATTTGACAACTTAGGTAAAATGAAAAATTCCTAAAACCCCCCCAAAACTACCAAAATTTACTCAAGAAGAATTATGTAACCTGATCATCCC